TCCCCCTCCCCCCCCTGCACACACTCCGTGCCTCGGTTTCCCCCTCTGCGACATGGGGGCTCGTCACACCCACCTCAAAGGGCTGTTACATTGGGGCAAATTGGTCAGTGGGCCTAGTTCTCTCCTGCCCTAAGGCCGGTGAGATCAGTGGGGTTACCCCAGGGCCGGCTCTGTCCCATTAGTTCTGAGCCAGGCGTGACGTCCCTCAGCATGGCCTCTGGCCTCCTGCATTTGCTCCCTCCTTCTGCCCCAGGATTTCTTCCCCTGGCTCGCTGTGGCACAGAGGCCGAGGGGCTGCGTTGGCAGCTGCGGGCTCCGGCCTAACGGCTCGTGGGTCTTTTTGGCGCGCTCGTGTTGGCGAATTCGGAGAACGACGACCAGCCGAGATCTGGCCAGGGAACGGGTCCCCCAGGCCCTGGATGTGGAGATGGTGGCTTCAGGGCCCAGTGCCAGTCTCTCTCCTCCCGGGGAGGGGGGGCAGAAAGAGGGGCTCGGGATGCCCGGAGCAGCCCCACAGCATAACACCCCGGCCCCTCCCATCCCCCATCCGGGGCGAGAAGGAGGCGACCCAGATGCACCAGAATTTAAGAGCCGCTCCCCCTCCCTATGCTCTTTCTCCCAGCCTGCCCCGAGCGTCTGGATCTGCCTCTCACAGATCCCCACGGATCCTTGCTCACCCCATGTCCTGCCCGGTCTTGCAGCCTGCCGGGGCCTGTCCGGAACATACCCTTGCAGCGTGCCTGATCCGACCTCTCCGAGCCTACGGCAAAGAGCCCCGGGCCGCAGAGCTCAGCTCGGGGTCTGAGTTTCCCCAGCGCTTGGTGGGGACCGGGACTGGAGCCAGAGCCCCGACTCCGCCCGGCGCAGTGCCGGAGTCTGAACGTCGGGGCTGCAGGGGGAAGCTGGGGGTCTGCTTTGGGCCGGGCTCTGAAAGGGGCTTTGTTCTCCCACCCGGGCTCTAACACCTACTCCCACAGCCGTGTCCGTCTTATTGTCTCTGCCCCTTTTCTTTATAGGCAACTGGAATTATTTTGGCTGGGGAGAGCAGCAGAGTAAGTATCCGATCGCCTTCTCACCCAGAACGCAGGTGGCACCCCCCTTTCCTACCCGCTGGCCTCCCAAAGGGCTGCCCACCCCCCAACCAGGGGGAGGCCCATTCTGCCTCTGGCCCCCTAAGGCCCGTGGCTAACACAGAAGAGCCGTGCAAGGGAGCAGAGGGGTCTGGGTGGCTAGTGGGCAATGCAGGGGGGCCTGGGACTAGCCTCACCTCTGTCTTGGCCCGGCCTGGCTTTTATCTTTTCATGCAGATGGCACGTCTCCCCCGTGCTCCTGGAGAGAGGGGCACAGGCCCGGCTACAGATGCTTTTTGGGGTGGGTGGATGGACCGTCCCCGGGGCGGGGAGGGATGGAGCAGTATGCAGACGGCATTGCAATCTTTGGGCACAAGGCACTGGGCTTTTCTTGGTCCATGGGCACCAGCCAGCGGGGGTTGCCCAGGGGGGACCCCCTGCCTCTCCAAGGCAGGAGAGCAGTAGGGGTACGTCGGCATCCTGTAGATCCCTCCTCCATCTCTTCCTCCCCCCCACCCCTCCCCCCTTATGTATACTCCCATTTCCCACCCCCCTCCGGCCCAGGCTGGGGTAGCGGCTCTGGCTGATTCTGCAGGATAAGGAATCCCATTGCACTCCACCCCTTGCGGGCTGGGCTGGGGGGGAGGCAGCTTGGTGGGTCGATGCCCTAAAGGGCCTGGGCGCTCCCAGGCCTGGAGGACGTGGCGGTACGGCCCCCCGTTGTGGCAGGCCTCGGCCTCCCGCTCGCGGCACCACGGCCACGCTGCTGACATCTGCCCAAGCTGGGACCGACGCGCCCGCTCCAGTGTAACACGCCCAGAGCTAAACCCCCGCCCCCCTCGAGTCCGCTCCCCCCGCTCCAATGGCACCAGCCGAACCGCGGCTCAGTGCTAGGCGCCACGGTGGAACCGCGCGGCCTCGAACTCCTGCCTCGGGCCCACTCCCTCCAAAGGGACTCCAGGGACGGTCGCCCGAAGAGGCGGCAGAGGGCAGCCGTGAGCGGCACAGAGTTCTGCAGGATTGGGGAGCTAGCGTGGTGCCCAGCCACCAGGGTCTAGCCTCTGCCAGCGGTCTGTGCACAGGGGGTGGGGCAGCGTGAACGGGCACAGGGAGGCAGACTGCTGCTGGGGCGCACCGGGGCAGCACGGCTTTGGGCAGAGCCATCGGCTCCTGGAGCACTAACCTTCCCTGTGTGCCCAACACGTGCCAGCGCCCCTCTCCCCACTCACATAGCCGGGGCCGGATACCCAGAGCTGCTGGACACTGGCAGCTCCCTGGACGTCAGTGCCCACCAAGCGTAGGCCCCTCTCTAGGCCTCTCCAGCTGAGTCTCCTAGGGGGAAGTCCCACAGAGGCGGCGGCCTTTGAAGCAGTGGCCCGGTTCTCATTGATGCCAGCCAGGCAGTAGAGGTTGGCATTGTCCTTGCTGCTGAGACACTGGCTATCTCGCGCCTCTCTGTCACGCGGTGGCCTTTGGCCCCTTCCCGCGTAAAATGCTCACTGGTGGCAACCGTCCCTTTGCAGATGACGACCCCGACAGCACCATGGACGACCGGGACAGCGACTACCGAAGTGAGACCAGTAATAGCATCCCGCCTCCGTACTACACCACGTCCCAGCCCAACGCCTCGGTCCACCAGTATCCCATGAGGCACCAGCAGCAGAGCTCCCGCGACTCGTACACGGACTCCGTGCAGAGCTACGAGATGGACTACTCGGATCAGCGGCCCATCAGGTAGAGTTGGGGAAGGCCGGCGCCGGCCCTCGGACGGCCTGTGATATTGACTTGCTGCGCCGCAGACAAGACGCGTGGTGGTCGGCAGTCCCAGACATCAGGTGGGAGAGGTTAGGCCAGGCCATGCTGCAGCAATCAGGGAGAGAGATATGGATGGGAAGGGGGCTGTCTCAGAGGAGGAGAAAAAGCCGTGCCCTTGGGCAGATTAGCTATAGCTCTTGGCAAAGGCTGGACAGAGCTGGTATGCAGTGGTGCCCACCCTAGCATTTCTGTGCCGACCCCAGCCGCTTCCTCCAGAATCTTAGCTTTCATTCAAAATTAAAATCCAGGCTCTGTGGGGAAAGCCCCTGAGGAAGTTAGATCCTGCTGCCTGAGGAGAGGGGCCACCGGCTGCCTGCATTCCTCTCGCTGGGGGTTAACTCTGAAACCTAATGGTGGGTTCCAGCGGTGCCATTGTTAACTGTTCTGTGGTAGTAGAAAGAGTGATTGTGGGTGGAGTTTTGGATTGTGGGCGGAGTTTGACTAACCGGTGCTTCCTCCCCATCTAATCCCTGGCTAGCGTTAGAACACCGAAGGGTAAAACCCTAATAAACATCGAGGAGATGAAGGTTGGGGGCTCCATCCGAGTCCCAGGGACAGTCCTCTCCACCCTGGAGACACCGAGGGCAGGGCTGTCGCTGATCGGGATTTAGGTGCACGGGCAGGGCTGTGAGGGACAGAGCAGGAGTGGAGTAGCTGAGGATGCTGCAGAGGCGTTGCTGGAGCTGCACGGGCCAGGCCTGGAAGCGTAGCCGGGCTGGCCGCATTGGCAGCGCTGTAGGGGGAAGTTCCCATGCCATCTGTCTTCCCTGCACTGATCTATCTGCTGACAGCACAGCCTCACTGCTCCAGAGCATTCAGCCTCAAGACCCTGCACTCCCACCCTCAGGGAGAGCCCAGATTGGGGAATCTGCTCCTCGCCCTCCCCAAAAACCTACACTCCCTGGGGCATCGGGGGAACGGCCGCAGGACCCCCAGGGCGTTGGCTCCGTTGGTGTGAGGGTGGATGCCAGGGGGCGCGGCCCCGAAGAGAGGAGGGGGCGTGCTGCGCGGCCCTGCTGGGAGCTCATTGTCTGTTGTGGTGTCGTTGGTTCCCGGGTGACCTTTGCTGACCATGTTCCTCTCCTCCCCGGCAGACGCTACGATAGCGTCGATTCTGCCACAAACGGGCGCAGCGACGCTGAGTCCGCCTCCGAGTCGAGCAGGCGGACCAGCCGCCAGTTCTCCCTTGAGAGCAGGCGGTCCCTAGACCTATCGGATAGGTGGGTCTCTACCTTGTCTCTAGCCTTGTGCCTGACGCAGAGTGCTGTGGTTGGTCCTTGCCGCCCGGGTTAGGCCGATACCAGTCCCGGCAATGGCAGCCCCGTGCGGCTGCCGGAATTACCCGGCCACTCCTGGGTATCCGATTCCTCGGCCCCGGGGGGAAATGACAAGGCTCCTTTGCATGGGTTCCTCGAGGTGTCCAGTATAAAGTGCATTGCACATGCATCCCAGCTGCAGCAAGAGATGCCCCTAGGGCCCCCGGCTCGGTGCTCCGGACCGGTTCTCTGAAGGGCTCTCACTGAGGCAGGGTTCCCTGGCCATTGGGCAGTTGATGCCAGTTGGGCAGGTTGGCATTGTCCCTGCTGCTGAGACAGAACCAGAACCAGTGCAGGGGGGTAGAAATACCTAAAGGGGGCAGGACCGAGCCTGGCAGCGTCCTTCACCTGGCTGGGATTGGACTCAATCCGTCGGCCCACGCAGCCTTGGTCCTTCGGCCAGTCCCATTTCCACCACCCCAAAGGCGGGGTCGCCCGCCCCTCGCTTGGGGTCCCCGTTGCCCCATCTAACTGGCCTCCCCAGCCATCTCCGGGGTGCGGTTTCCCGGCGCGCTCAGCGGGGTGGGAAGCCAGGCTCAGGATTTCAGCACACCCTCCACCAACACATGCCGAAGGCATGAGAGGAACGGGGGAGCGCAGGATCTCCTGCCTTCCTGCATGCTGGGTCTTCGGGATCCACCCAGCCCCTCCCTACGGGACAGAATTCACACGCAGAGCGTCAGCGCTGCCGCTGGCTCCTGCCCAGGTGGCCCGGGAATGATTTCAGCAGCGAGGGGCCAGGGTAGCTGCCTGGCGGGGGAGCACTAGGCCTCATGGGGTGGAAACGGACGAGCATGTGCAATGCATTTGAGGACACCTACCCTTGCCTGGGGAAACCTGACCCTGAGACCTGGGTGCGCATGGACTCACATGGGAGGGGCAACGCCTGTGCTTTGGAGCATTTTTCCGGCTCTTTCAATTCTCTCTTGAGGGGTGGGGTTTGGGTGCTGAGGAGCCCGGAGTGGGGAGGTCTTGCCTCTCCTCTCTGCCACAACCTGGCTCGGTCCCCTCTGTGACGGGTCCCAGCTCTGTGAGCTTGGATGACGTCTCCTGGTGCTTCGATCCCCAAGCCACCCACACTCTCCCAGGCCAGGCAACCGGCCCCTCCAGCGGCTTCCTGCAGAACGCGGGGCTCAGCCAGAAAGGCACCCGTGCCAGTGTGTGCGTCCCCCCACCCCCGCTCCACTGCCGGTGCCGGAGACGTGGTGTCGGCCTATCCCCAGGCGTGCCCCTGTACTATGTCTGCATGCGCTTACTGTGAGCCTCTCCGCTCAGAGGCACCGCGGTTGCTGTGGTGCTCGGAGAATCGCCCCGGTTTTCTCCCTCCTCGTGTCCAGTGGTTTGGTTTGTCAGAGACCCCCCTTCTCCTCTAACCCCCTCCCTCTGACCTCTCCACCTTGCTCCCCCGGGGCCTCACCCCGACCGGATCCCTGAGCAGTGGGCTCGGCCTGTGGGGAGAGGCCCGAGGAGCGTGTCTGGGATGGGCTGGCGGAGGAGCAGGGCAGTGGGGAGGTGAGCCGCAGAGGGGGAGGGGAAGGAAGGCCAGGAGAGAGGAGCTGTGGGGAGAAGGAAGAGTTGGGAATGGTGGGGGGGATTTCTGGTGCGATGGAGGAGTGAGTGATGGGGAGAAGAGGGAATGGCTGGAAAGGGCACACGGGTGGGGATGTGGAGTGGCATGGGGTGGGTGCGGGGGGGAGTTGGGGGGAACCATGGGCGTGGGATATACCCGGCTGCCCATGCAGCACTGCTCCCAGGT